GAGGAATGAGCCACTCCCCAAACCCTGCCCACCTGTTGTCAGGAGACCCCCCAGCTCCATCTGTGCCTGCCTGGAGGTGCTAATAACAGCCAGGTGCAGAAACATTGGGCTCCAGATGCAAAAGCACATCAGACGATTTAAAAACAAACAAAAGCCACTTGTTAGGAGAGAGAGCAGCGGGCAGCACCTACCTACATAGTATCCGGCTGAGTTGTCGTCATTGGTCCCCCTCAAAATTGAATGCAGCTGTCCTTCAGCTCCGTGCGTTCCAGGAGCATGAATGAATTTGATCTTGCTCTCCAGAACATTCACTCGCCCACTGTGTGTATCTGGCTAGCACTGGCATTGCTTATCATTTTTCCTGACCCATTCCAACTGCCTTCCTCGTCCAGCCGCAGCCAAACGTTGTGGGGGAGGGGGCAGCCGGCGCCGCAGGGCCCCTTAGGCTTCCCCTAGGAGCCACAGGATGCCCAAGCAGCCAGAGAACCCAGCAGCGGATTACACTTTCTCATTCCAGGGATGCGGCAGCAAGAAAGCAAAAGAGCAGAAGTTTTTTTCTTTAAGTTGGGGAAAAAAAAAAAAAACACATTTATTTTTCTACTGCAGTGATTGAGGAAACCACAAAGGCTTCTCACTGGGCCTCTTCGTGCCTCCGTTCCTCACTCTGCGTCTCTTCCCCTCCTCCAGGCGCTTCACTGCCCACCCTGCATGCGGAGGCCAGCCTCCGCCTAGGTCTCTTTAGCTCTTAAACTTCAGAGGAAGGGGCACCTGGCCAGGTCAGTCGGTAGAGCCTGCGACTCTTGATCTCAGCATTGCGAGTTCAAGCCCCATCTTGGGTGTAAAGATTACCCCACCCCACCCAAAAAAAAAAAAAAAAGATTCAAAAGAAGATGAACTCCATCTCTGAGATGGCTCCAGGTTCTAAAATTCTGTGGTTCTGTAACCTCCATGGGGTCAAAAGTGCTTAAACCACAACTCTGAAAATGTGAAGGAACTCTTCAGTGCGAGCACCGCGTTTTTATTCTCTGCCGGCGAGCAGATGGAAGTGGAAAGCTTCAGAGCCAGCGGAGGTGGGCCCTGCGTGACCGCTGCCACGGCCACGGCCCACAGGAGCCATTCTTCCTCCAACGCACGTTCAGGGCTTGGACATGTTCAGGACAAATGGGCTGTCCAAAGAGATGGGTTTCATACACAAGGCTTCTTCCAGAGGATTCTCACTGTCTCCTTTAAGGTCCATCTAGTCATTTGGGAATGAAAGCCAACATCCCAGGAAAACATGGAACGTACCAGAATTCCCGCTGAACCATCACTGTCTACCTGCCTCTAGCCTCCAGCCTCCAGTTCTCTGGTCCTGGTCAGCTGGAGACCCTTTTCACTCCAGGCCCTAACGAGCAATGCTATTCACGTTCAGACCCAATGCATACACCACACACGACACACAAATCATTATTTACGACTGGAACAGAATGCAGCCCTCTCTCTTCTAGTCTGTTCTTTTTTTTTTATTTATTTATTCGACAGAGAGAGAGATCACAAAGTAGGCAAAGAGGCAGGCAGAGAGAGAGAGAGAGAGAGAGGAGGGGAAGCAGGCTTCCTGCTGAGCAGAGAGCCTGATGCGGGGCTCGATCCCAGGACCCTGGGATCATGACTTGAGCCAAAGGCAGAGACCTAACCCACTGAGCCACCCAGGCGCCCCCTTTTTGTTGTTTCTAAGGCTGATCACAGCCCACTAAAATTATTTCAGGACCCAATGATGGGCTGCAAACTGTAGTCTGAAAAGAAACCTGCTCTAGGCCCAGCTATCGTCATTTATATTTCAATATCCTGGTTTTCTGACTTGTGTCCTCATAACTGCAGTACGTGAGCAGATTAACTTTGCAGACTGGTCCCACGCTGACATAGGTTAGTCCTAAAATTTAAAAATTTTAGAACAAAGTAAATTCCACACGTTCAGTGATCAAGGAAGTTAAACACAAAGGGTGAGCAACTCACTAACAGTATTTACATTCCTGAGTATCTGAGATAGAAAGGGATGCCTGAGGGAAAATGGTTCTCTGCTTTGAGAGAAGATTCTTTGAAAAGGTACCAACCTGCCAGCTGAATTACTGCTGCTGTTCTCTCTGGGATAAGTCCTAACTTAAGTATTGTCTCACTCTTACTCAGTAGGTATAAGGAAGGTATTATAGGTATCATAAAGAAGGTATTAGATGCCTTGTATACTTCCCTTTTATGAGAAGATATTATGGGTATTATGATAAAATCTTGGGGGTAACATCTTTCTCATTTTGGGGGTGATCCCCTTGAAAGAAAAGACTAGGACCAAATAGTGCGACATGTGTGTGCCATGCTCCTAAGAATCATGGCAGTACTCCACGGAGTGTTCAGAGAGTGATTATTTGCAAAGACACCAAACAGGAAGGTCAAGAGGTTCTTGCTGATAAATGAACAGATTCAGCATTGCTTTTGTTTGGTTCAGGGGGCCCCAGATGCAGGTGGATGGAAAGGGGCTAGTATATATTGTAAGGATATTCAGGGAGTGCCATATTCAGAGGACCTCCTTTAGCAGGTAAGTGATTTTTATCTTGGCTTTTTTTTTTAATTGTGATAAAATATACAGAACTTAAAGTTCACTATTACAATCATTTTTAAGTACACAATTCAGGGGCAGCATTAAGAACATTCACAGTACTTGCATCCGTCAGCACTATCCATTTCCAGAACTTTTTCATCATCTCGAACTGAATGTCTGTCCACTCTAGGCAACAGCTCCCCGCTCTGCCTCCCCCAGCCCCTGGTCTCTCTGAATTTGCCTGTTCTAAGCCCCTCACTTGTAAGTGGAATAATCCAGTATTTGCCTTTTTCTGTCTGGCTTATTTCACTTGCTGGCCAGTATCTTTTAGTTCACTTCTTCTCTCTCTAAGGAAGCCAGAGCTAGGTGATTCTGTTAAAATGGGCTCAGGAGAGTTTTATGACAATGAGGTTGCAGGCCAACCTCAGTCTGTTCCATGTTGCAGATACTGCAGGGTTTTGGGTTTTGTTTTACAAACTGAGGGTTCGTGGCAACCCCGCATCAGCCAAGTTCATCAGCACTGTTTTTCCACCAGCACTTGCTCACGTCGTGGCTCTGTGTTGCATTTTGGTAATGTCTCACAGTATTTTTCATTATTATATTATGGTCATCTGTGACTGGTGATTATGATTCACTGGAAGCTCAGATGATGGTTAGCATTTTTTTTTTAAGATTTTACTTATTTATGACAGATAGTGAGAGAGGGAACCCAGGCATGGGGAAGCTGGAGAGAGAGAAGCAAGCTCCCCGCTGAGCAGGCAGCCTGATACGGGGCTCGATCCCAGGACTCCCAGGGTGCTAGGATCGTGACCTGAGCCACCCAGGCACCCCGATGGTTAGCATTTTTTAGCAATAAACTACTTTTAAATTAAGGCACATACACTGTTTTTTTAGGTATAACACTATTGCACATTTGCTTCCAGTATAGTATAAACATAATTTTGGGGGCACCTGGGTGGCTCAGTTGGTTAAGTGTCTGCCTTACCTCAGGTTATGATCCCAGAGTCCTGGGATTGAGCCCTGAATCGGGCTCCCTGATTGGTGGGAAGCCTGCTTCTCCCTCTCCCACTCCCCCTGCTTATGTTCCCTCTCTCGCTATGTCTCTGTCAAACAAATAAATAAAATCTTTAAGAAAACACATAATTTTTATATGCACTGGGAAACAAAAAAACTCAGTTGATTGCCTTTATTGAGATATTTGCTTGATTGTGGTGGCCTGGCACAGAACTCCAAAGTAGGCCTGTATAGGTGCCTGATGTCAATGGGAATCCGGTAAGGGAGTGTTCACCTATCGAGAACTCGGCTTCCTTGCAACTGTGCCTAACAGCAAAGCTGAGAACTGGGGCAGACATTCAGAAGGTGACCTAACAGAGAAAATGCTCATTACAGGGTCTGTGCCCCAAGGAGGATGCAGTGCATTCCTGGGAAAAACCACAGGCCCTCACTTTTATTCTTACAACAGATATTTCTAACAAGCCTCTGAAGTTCAAATCCCATGGCATTTTAGAAATAGCATACTAGAATGAGAGCCGAGAGGGTCCACCCTCAGCGGACTCACCAGCCACAAGAAACTGCAGGGAAGGAAAGAAATCTGGCTCTTGCTCAATTTGGGAGGCTGCCGGGCATCCTCTCTGCGGCAGGGTGGGGCTGATGTTCCAGATGACAGTCCGGGGTAATCCCCCCCCCCATTTGTCCCCACAGGAGGTCAGTCTCTGCGCACAGAACACTGGGGACTGTGATCAGTCAGGGCTTGCTGATAAAGGCTGCAGCATGATCATGATTCTTTAAGGGAGACTCTCAGTGCTGTGATTTTTTTTTTACGTTCTGAATTCTGGGTAAGCAGTAACTGTACCCGAGTTTGAGGTCCACAGCAGCGCCTGGGAGCTCACTGCTGCTGCACGAATGCTGGCGGCCGGCGCTACCCTGTTTCACTCCATTGCACCTCGGTGTTCGGCTTGACTGAGCCGGTGTGTGGAAGAGAACAAAGAGAAGGCTAGTTTAGACTATAAAATCGTCTTCGGTAAGAGAAATTCGTGGGCATTCATGAGCATCCATGAGAAAAGAGGCTTTCACTGATTTGGAAGGGTTTGGGGAAGAGAGATGGAAGTGAATGGTTGGGTCAAGACCGTAGAGAATGTAGTTCTCAGGTGAAGGTCCGCTGGGGAAAGGTAGCTGAGGCATTGAATTCATCCTCCTAGCTGTCTCAAAGCCTCAGCCAGGCCCCACGTGCCCGGTTGGTCTGTTAGGACTGTGGTACACGCTGTACCTGATACGTGCGTGCTGCCTTTTCTGACCAACCTATCTTCGGGATGGAGGGTGTGCATTTCTCTCCAGCCTCCTCCATGGAGGCTGCCCCCACCCCATGAGCCTGAGCACGCCCAGTCCAGAGCTTTCCCTGAAGCTGCCCCTTCTCCCCTTCTCTCCGCCACAGCACGCTGTCCAAGTGCTGCCACGCCATGGTGGCCGTCATCTACCCCTTCACCTGGCAGCACACCTACATCCCCGTGCTGCCGCCCGCCATGATCGACATCGTGTGCTCGCCGACCCCCTTCCTCATCGGCCTGCTCACCAGCTCGCTGCCGCTGCTCCGGGAGCTGCCGCTGGAAGAGGTGAGCACTGGGGATGTCCCTGTTCCCTCCCCGTGGGGGCCAGAGGGCAGAGGGGAGGGGCTGGCTAAGATATTGCAAGAGTGCACTGTCAGGGGGTGGGGGGGGCCCACAGTTTTATTAGCTACACCCCCCCATGTCTGCCTCAGTAGACCCTCAGGGACTGAAAACTCAGTTTTCTCTAAATGAACGCGCTGGCCTGAAGGGCAGCAACCTACAACTTAGCCAGATGTTGAAACACTGGATCCAGAAGTAGCCGTCCACCCTATCCTTCCCTCCCTCCCTCTCCCCAGCACAGAGGAAGAAAGCACAGAGGAGCTAACAAGAGCTGGAGTTTATATCTGGACTAATAACAAAGCTGACAAACACTGTGCTCCTACACACAGGTCCTTTATCACATCAGTTTAAAAAGACAACCACCAAAATGTTTTTAAGGATCCACTTCTGGGTTTTCACGTTTGCCCCCAAGTAGGGAAAGTCCTCCTGGCATTCCGGTGGGTCTTTAGCCCCAGGCCCTTCCTCTAAATAATCTCTGTCTCATGTACGGATTGCTCCCCGCAGTCAGCGAGGGAACCGTAGGTGCCTAAATGATGTCACTAACTTCTGAACCCCCCGGGGAACGCCTGTCGCTGAAATTTATCCCAGGCCCCCAGATGTGGCTCCTCTGGTTGCCCAGGGAGGCCTAAAGTCCCATGAGTAATCACTAGCACACACAGGTCTTTGAGCATAGGTTTCTGAACCACACAGTTTGTCTGGGTACCCTCTGATCCCTGAACAGTTCGACCCCAAACGTGCTTCAGAAGGAAGGAGAGACCCCCCCTCAGCTCCTGGGTAGGGTCTCTGGGATGTATTAGAGCCTGTGTTGCCAGCTGTTGGTAAAAACGTGGTGGCCTTCCGGACCCATGCTCTCCCTCTATCATAGCCAGTGGCCCACGCTGGCTCGGGTCATGCAGGCAGAGACCCAGCATTTTCCTGACCATGTGCCCTAGGCAACGTGCATGTCCCACCCTACGCGGCCCTGGGCCTCAGCCCCGCTCTGAGGAGGGAAGGGGAGGGTGCTTATCCGAAAACCTTTGATGAAAGCCCAGTACTTGCAACCTGACTTACTCTCCAGGTGGATCCACTCCTCCCGATCTCTCTCTTCCTGTCCCATTAAGAGAAATGACAAGGCCGAAGGGGTAGCCAGGAGGAGAGAGAGCCCTGGGAGTGGGGAGTGCAGACTTGATGGAATGGGAACAGCAGGGTTCCTCCAGCATCTTTCGCCCACATCAGTAACCCACACACTACAAGTCTGTCCCAGAGGCTCTACCTCAGCCCGTCTCCGAACAGGGCAGGGAGTCCAGTCTGTGGCATACACATGTCCCAGCCTGTGGCTTCAGTGTTGAAAGCATGCAGTTTTGGAAAGCCCTTCCCCATCCCCTTCCCCCTCTACATCATTTGTGGCTGTAGTGGCAACGTCAGGAAACCACAAATGGGCCACTCCACCTCCCCACCCCAGCTGCCTGTCTGGATGCCAAGAAGGAGGAAGGCTAAGAGTGTCACTACACCCCGGCGACAGTAATCATCCCTTTTCCTCATCTTGCAGGTCCTTGTGGTCGACCTCGTCAACAATCGGTTCCTCAGACAGGTGAGTAAGAAGGCCAGCTTCAGCCCGATGCTCTGTTGCATCTCTGCTGCTGGGCACAAGGCTTTCCAGGTCTGGAAAGGCTCTTTGGTGGGCCTGGGATTGTAAAACAGGCCGGCGGGCTTGGGCGATCCCTGGCCAGGGCTGGACTGGAAATACACAGAGGGCAGGGCCAAAAGAGCAAGGGTTTGGCAAAGCACTGAGTCCTGTGTGTCTTATCACAGAATGGTTTTCTAACATTTAGAAGGTCTGTATAGGTTGTAACTACAGACACTTGTTCTTTTCAAAATGTTTTCAAGCAATAACTGTTTAAGTCCATGATATAATATTAAGTGGAAAAAATCAGGACACAAGATTATATACAATATATATTGTCCTGATCTCTTTTTTGGGGGGGGGTTAAAGATTTTATTTATTTATTGGACAGAGAGAGCGAGAGCATAAATAGGGGGAACAGTAGAAGGAGAGGGAGAAGTAGGCTCCCCACGAAGCAGGGAGCCTGATGCAGGGCTTGATCCCAGGACCCTGGGATCATGATCTGAGCCAAAGACAGATGTTTAACCATCTGAACCACCCAAGTGCCTTTTTTTTTTCTTTTAATGAAAAGGAGAGAAAAAGAGAAAGAAACACAGTTGGCCATTAAACAACACGGGTTAGAGGTGCCCACTCCCTGCGCAGTTAAAAATCTGTATATATGGGTGGCTCAGTTGGTTAAGTGACTGCCTTTGACTCAGGTCATGATCCTGGAGTCCTAGGATCCATTGAGTCCCGCATCCGGCTCCCTGCTCAGCAGGGAATCTGCTGCTCCCTCTGCCTCTGCCTAACACTGACCTGCTTGTACACTTTCTCTCTCTCTGTCAAATAAATAAACAAAATCTTTAAAGAAAAAATTAAATTAAAGTAAATGAGTTGACACTTTTTTTTTTTTTTTAAGATTTTTTGTTTATTTGACAGAGAGATCACAAGTAGGCAGAGAGGCAGGCGGGTGGGGAGGGGGGAGAAGGCTCCCTGCTGAGCAGAGAGCCCGATGTGGAGCCGATCCCAGGACCCTGAGATCATGACCTGAGCTGAAGGCAGAGGCTTAACCCATTGAGCCACCCATGCATTATCCCCTCACATAATCAATTATCTTTTTTGTGTGTGTGCTGATAGCATTTGAGACCTACTCTTTTAACAACTTTCAGATATACAGTAGATTATAGTTAACTATAGTCACCATGCTATGCATTAGATCCCCAGAACTATTGAGCTTATAACCTGAACTTTGTACCCTTGGACCACGCTTGCCCATTTCCCCCACCCCCTGGCTCCTGGCAACCACCATTCTACTCTAATTGTGTGGCTCCAGCTTTTTTTAGATTTCACATATAAGTGCGAACATGCAGTTTTTGTCTTTCTCTGACTTATTTCACTAAGCCTGATGCTCTCAAGGTCCATCCATGTGGTCACAAAAGGCAGGATTTCCTTCTTTTTTATAACTAATATTCCATTATATGCGTGTATCTGGGTATATACATTCCATTGTGTACACACACACACACACACACAATCTTATTTTCTTTATTCGTTCGCCCATGAATGAACACTTAGGTTGTTTACATGTCTTGGCCTTTGCGAATAGTACTGTGATGTTCATGGGGTACAGATGGGATTTCAGGGGCGCCTGAGTGGCTCAGATGGTCAGGTGTCCAACTCTTGATTTCGGCTCAGGTCCTGATCTCAGGGTCATGAGACAAAGCCCTGCGTCAGGCTCCGTGCTGGGCATGGAGCCTGCTTCAGATTCTCTCTCTCCCTCTGCCTCTGCCCCTGCCCCACTCACGCATACGCTCTCTTTCTCTAATTAAAAAAAAAAAAAAAAATGGTGATTTCATTTCCTTCAGATACACACCCAGAAGTGGGAGTACTGAGTCATGGTAGTTCTATTTGTAAGTGTTTGAGGACCTTCCGTGCTATTTGCCACAGCACAGCGCTGACTCACGTTCCTACCCACAGTACGTCTAGTGCTGACCATTTCTTTCACGGGCAGAAGTTTTTAGTGTGACGGAATCCTTGCTCGTTTTTGCCCTTGTTGCTGGTAGCTTTTGGCGTCCTGTCCAAACAGCATTGCCAAGACCAGTGTCAAGGAGCTTTTTCCCTGTTTATTTCTAGTACCTTTAGTTTTGGATCTTATCTTTAATCTTTAATTTAAACCTTTAATTCATTTCCTGTTAATTTTTTTGAGTGGTGTAAGATAGGGGTCCGGGGTCATGTCTTTGCATGAATTTCCTGGCACCGTTCATTGAAAAGACCCATCATTTCCACCGTTGAATTCCTAGCTCCCTTGTCAGATATTAGCTGACCATGTATTTACGGGTTGATTTCTGGGCTCTTGATTCTGTTCCTTTAGTCTGTGTGTCTGTTTTCATGGCACTACCAGACTGTTTTGATTGCTATAGTTTTGTTAATAAAGCTTGAAATCAGGAATTGTGAGGCCCCCAGCTTTGTTCTTTCTCAGGATTGCTTTGGGTTTTCAGTGTCTTTTGTGGTTCCGTGTGAATTTTAGGATTGTTCTTTCTATTTCTATAAAAAGTGCCATTACAGGGGTACCTGGGTGGCTCAGTGGGTTGAGCTTTGGCTCAGGTCATGAGCTCAGGGTCCTGGAGCCTGCTTCTCAGTCTCCCTCTGCTGCTCCCCCTGCTTGTGCTCGCTCGCTCTTTCTCTCTCTCTCTCTGACAAATAAATAAAATCTTAAAAAAAAAAATGCCATTACAGTTTTGGTGGGGATTGCACTGAATCTATAGATGGCTTTGGGTAAAATAGACATTTTAACAGTTAATTTTTCCAATCCATGAACACAGACTATCTTTCCCTTTATTTATAGCTTTTTCAAATTCTTTCATCAGTGTCTTCTGTATCCCTTTTAATCTTCACGATGAGGTAGATATTGATTGGTACCCATTTTACAAGTGGGGAAACTGAGGCTCATATTGGTTGTAAAAAGTGGAATCAAGAAGGGCGCCTGGCTGGCTCAGTCTGAAGAGTATGCGATTCTCAATCTCGGGGTTGGGAGTTTGAGCCTCCTGTGGGGTATATATAAATAAATAGAACTTTAAAAAGAAACAAACATGGAATCACAATTCAAACCTCAGATCTCTGTCTCCAAATCATGTTTCTTCCACTAACCCCAAAACTATGCCGGGTGAGCTGCGGGCTGGGACGTGGTTCTCATCCCCAAAGGCCTTGGGACACCGGCCCACCTGCTCTCTCTGCTTTACAGATGGATGATGAGGATTCCATCCTCCCCAGGAAGCTTCAGGTGGCCCTGGAGCACATTCTGGAGCAGAGGAACGACCTGGCGAGTGACCAGGATGATGGGCCCCCGGACTGCAAGTACGGTGAGAGTTCAGCCGCCTCGTCTCCCCCTTCCATCACTAGCATCTGGCAGCCAGTGGGCCGCTGACCAGCCCTTCCACGTGTCCTTGAGTTAAGTAGGAAAACTGGCCAGAGGGGCGTGCAAGGAGAGAAACCAGGGGCGTAACCCCTTGATCTGGATCTCATGTTGACAATGAGTCGTGAGAAAAATGTTCCCATCTCCCCCATTTCAGCCCTAAAATACCAGATTAAAGGGGAGGGAGAAATGACTTTACCACCCTAGATAACATCTGTCTTGGAGAATGATGATCTGCTCTAGTCCTTACCTGTGTCCCTGGGACTGTCTCAGGCTCTGCCTCTGCCCCCGCCCTCACTGGCTCCCGCCCTTCCCCACTTTTCTTAGGCCCCGAGTCCAGCCCCTTGAACGAGGTGGTGTCCGAAGCCTTTGTCCGCTTCTTCGTGGAGATCGTGGGCCACTACTCCCTGTTCCTGACAGCGGGCGAGCGCGAAGAGAGGACCCTGCAGCGAGAGGCCTTCCGCAAAGCCGTCTCCTCCAAGAGCCTCCGCCGCTTCCTGGAGGTTTTCATGGAGACCCAGACCTTTCGGGGCTTCATCCAGGAGCGGGAGCTGCGCCGGCAGGATGCCAAAGGTGAGGGGGCACCTTCCGCGTTGGGGGCCGAGCCAGCTAGAGACGCCCAGGCCGCAGAGGCAGGGAGCAGGGAGGAAGGTCATGGGGCCTGGGTGCAGGTGGGAGCAGCGGCGCAGCCCGCCCCGGAGGAGGCTCCGTCCCGCTGCCTCAGAGTTGGTCACCCTGCCCCAGTGTCCCGCCTGTCTTCTCTGGCCATCTCCTTCCCCACTCCCAGCCTCTCCCGGAACCACATTCCAGGTTCTGGTGGCAGGTTCTCCTTCTGTTCCATTTTGCCAACTCGATGAAACTCTCAAGAGCATGCTCTCCTGTCCCTCGCTGGCTCCTCCTCTCCTTTTCCTCAGACCTCTCCTCCCTTCTGCCCTTCTTTCCTGCCCATCTCCGCGGGGTGTGGCACCAGCCAGCAGGGGCAGAGAGGATGGCCATGCCCCCACTTGGTGTGAGCGCGCCTCTTCGCTTTCAGCAGCACAGGAGGTAGCACAGCAAAGACTCCTCAGCCTGGGGAGCTGGCGGTCCTCTCGCCATGAGCCTGCCCGCCTGCACTCACTCTCCTCCCTTTTCCTGTCCCCTCTGGCTGGACTTCATCCCCCTTCCAGGGCTGAGGAGGGGGAGTATGTGAGGGAGGATCTAATCACCCCCCCCCTCTGTTTCTTGGATCATCTTAAGTCCTTCTGGGAATCGGAAAGCTAGAAATGTTGGTGAAGACTGTCACTGATGGGAATCAGACCTGGGTGGGGGAGACAGCCATCAAGGAGAAGCCAGTGCAGTGAACAGAGAAGGCAGCGAGGGTCCCAGGACAGCCTCCAGCCTCAGGCCCCCCTGTCCTCGGGTGCTGTGATGGCCGAGCCTGGGTGAAGGAACCAAAGCCCCCCATTCCTGCAGCTCTTTGCAAAGATGAGACAGGGGCTGGCCACACCTGAGGTATTCTGAGGAGCGGGATCTGAAGAGACAAAAGGAAATTGATTAGAGTCTGAGTCACGCTCCTGATGACAGGCTTCCTTGAAGTAGAAGCTCTGCTTACCAGAATATCTGCTTACAGATCGCTATTTGGTAGAAAGGTTGAGACACAAAAGCTTAAAAGTAGCGTGGAAGGCGTCCTGGAGGTCCAGGGAAGATCCGTGAAAAAGGAAGACAATGCCAGAGCCTCACTCCTGGGGCTAGAGGAGAAGGCGCCTGCAGGGTGCCCTGTCCGGCCTTCCTGAGCCCACAGATGGCAGACAGGTTCCCAGGAAGCTCTCCCCTCTTAGGGGAGAACATGAGGGAAAGGGAGACAACAGGAGTCCTGAAAGCCAAGGCTGTCTGGTCCATCTTTGAAACCGAGTGCCTGGTACAGTATAGACACTTGGAAGGTGTTTGTTGAATAAAATAGCATTTCATGTAGGAGCTAGCTTTAGAGCCTTCCAGAACAGTTACTGCACAAGGCTGGGCAATTATAAGGCCAATAAAACCCCTTCTACAGCTCAGGATTCAGAGCCTGTGTAGAGGAGCAGCTCATCTCAGAAGCAAGGTTTCCTTTTTATGGCGGTAAGGAAATGGCTCTGTTTAGAAGAGAGGGAGTGAGAAGGAACTAAAATGGCTGGGATTTCTCTTGCCAACAGGTTTGTTTGAGGTCCGAGCCCAAGAGTACCTGGAAACACTCCCCAGTGGAGAACACAGTGGTGTCAATAAGTTCCTGAAGGGACTCGGTAAGGCCCAGTGGTCTCTGTCCCCATCACCAGCCTCTGGTCCCCCCAGTCTTGGCAGGTTCCCTCCACGGGGGCCAGACAATGCAGAGCTCACTGCTCTGTGGCCTTGCAGGCTCCTGCTCTGAGCTGGCCCCAGGGGAACCCTCCTTGCCTCACTGGCCCCTGGGCAGTCCTTCTCTCCAGCACTCTTCAGTCTTCTGGGGAATCGAGCTTAGGAAGCAGAACATGTTCCATTCCGTGCTCCCTGTGTCACCTGTTCCGGAGCAAATGCTCCTCTACAGCTCTGACATTCTTCCTTTCAAAGATCCCCATGTCTGGGGACGATCCCCTGCATTGGGGAGGTTGCGTGAGGAGAGGCTCCAGAGGTGGCATGGGAGGCAACAGTCGTTCCGCACCCCCGCCGCCGGGTCTGGGATGGAAAGGGCGAAGTTTCACTTTTGTCTGCCTGGTGACATATTCTCATTTTCTTTTTTTTTTTTTAGGCAATAAAATGAAGTTTCTCCACAAGAAATAACCTTCAGCTCAGCTTCAAGGGAAAACTTCGTCCTAGTTGCATCCACATTTTTAAAAAACAGTTCCTGGTGGCCTTTCTGAAACGCTGGGTCCTGGGTGTCACAGGTGCGGGATAAAGGCCGGAATGGCTTCTGGCTACCCCAGGGCCTCCCCAGGACCCAGGTTCCAGCAGGTGCTGCTCCTTCAGAACAGCCCTGGAAAGGAGACCTGAGACCAGGCATGGCACAACATTCAAATGGATGGTTTGCGTTGTTGGGTTTGGGATTTTTTATATTTTTACTCTTAGGTATTAAAAGAAAGAAAAGTGTTTGGGTTTTCTTTTTATTATGCCAGGGCTAAGAAAACTCTGGTGCCTTGTGCCGTGGTGCCCTGGTTCATACTGCCTGGCAGCTGGGCTCTGAGGCCAAGAAGAGACGAGGAAGAGGAGGGCAGGAGCAGTGACCAGGGACGGGGAAGCAAGGCGCCCCTCTGGGTAGGGCCGGGGACAGACGCAGGTGTTAGAGGAGGGCAGTGGCAGCCCTACAACCCTCGTGCTCACAGGTATTGGGGCACGAGTCCTCTTGAGGAATTGGTGTGTGTGTGGAATGGTGCCCTATCCAGCCTGAAGGAAGAGGGGAACGGCAGAGGCGTTTGGCTTCCTGGGCTGAGCTGCACTTCCAGGCCGGCCAGGGACGCCACCTGGTGGCCGAGGCCGTTTGTCATGCTACCCACTCCTCTCCGGGCCCGAACAGACCGGACACTTCCAGTTGGCCTTTTTCCTCTTCAAAGCCATAGAACCATCCACTGCCCAAGCAGTCCATGACTTTTAGAGGGACACACAAAAGAGATCTCCTCATATGATCTGTTAATAAAATATTCTTGGGGTCCTTAAAACATGTAAGCTGCGGCTTTGACCCTATTCCCGTTTATATTGTAGGGAATGTTTCCCCTCTAGTTGTAGGGACCGAGATCTGCATAAACGGAGGGGCTTCTGGTGTTGACGTTTACAAGATGGGTGATCAGAACTTTGGGGCTAGCTTCATCAGACTCCTGTGCCCGCTAGGCGGCTTGCCCTCTCGGGACCAGAAGCAGAGAGGTGGGAGTAGAGGCTACACCCCAAGTCCTGTCCTGCAAGGGCACAGTGAGGATGCAGGAAGAGAGAGTGAGCAGCACTGGCAAGTTCTCCAGCAGGCCACAGGGTCACCACTGTGGCCGACCAACCCGCTGCTTGTGGACCCCCTCTGGATGGCACCAGAGGTCCCGACAAAAACATACTAAAGGGATGTGCACTGACCTTGGCAATGGCCCAAGGAGTTGTGCCACTTGGCACAGGTTCTCACCTTTAGGGAGCTGGGAGCAAGGGGTCTTCTAAGGAAAAAAAAAAAAAAAACAAGAGGAGAACGAAGAAATGGTTGCTCTCTGTCATTCTACATTAGAGGTTCTTAACTGGAGCCTTGGATGACCCCCTTCCACCTGGAAGTTACAGCCAAGATTTGGTGTGTCCATTTGGTTTTTAGGAGAGAGGATCCACAGTTTATATCAGATTCTCAAAGGGGTGCAAGGTCGGAACCAGGCTATGCAGCACAGTTAGCCTGGGTAGGTATGTGTGGTTGGCATTGAGGGGGGAGACCGAAATGGAATTGAGTGTTGGGGGCTCAGGAATTTGTACCTAATAAGCTCCTCGGATTAGTTAATTTTATGAATACCAGTATTCTGCCCAAGATGATCACTTTTAATATTTTGGAATATACCTTTTCTAACTTATTCCATATTGTTTACTTACCACCTCCAAGTGAATAAATATGCATCTTTGTCAACATTTCTAATGACTGTGTAACACTCTATTTTATAGATGTATTAGAAGTTAGTTTACCAGTCCTTTACTTTTATGCATGCAGGCTATTTCCAGTTTTTAATAAGTTTGAGAAAAGCATCTTTGTATAAGTATCTTAGTACATTGCCTTGTTTTCATTTTCTTTTTTGCTTGAAGTACAATACACATACAGAAAAGTTCTCAGATCATGAGTATACAGCGTAACAGACTTTTGAAAATGACCACATCCACGTAAGCGGCACACGTGCAAGAAAAGACCATCATCCGACCCTGGAGAGCCCTCCGACCCATCTTCCCAGCATTCCTCCCATCCGGCCCTGCTTATATTTAAATTAAATCAACTGAAAAGTTGTCAACAACTTGCAAAGTGGTAAATTAGGCTGGGGAGGGTCAGAGGCAAGAGAAACAAAGCCGAGTTGTAATCTAAGCTCACAGTTTAGGGCAGATCGTGGATGGAAACACGGTTTGGGTTCGGAAACAAAGTGTGGCTGTAAGGCCTGGGTGGGCTAAACCAGATCACCGTCACCCAGCCTCTGTGTCTTTCCACTCACAACATCTGTCCAAGAACCCAGTCCTCTAATGTCAATAAAAGGCATACATTTTCCACGGAGAATGTGCATGTGTTTAGAAGCACGCCATTATCGGGTTTCAGTTCCCAGTGAACCATGAGACCCTTTTTCCTCAGGCAGAGCTGGTGCTGGGGAACCCTGCTGCCTCCTTGATTCTGGGCACTTGCCTCCCCCCACTTTTTCTTATATTGGGGTGAAATTCACAGAACATACAATCAGTCATTTTAAAATAAACAATTCAGTTGCATTTAGTACACTTGCAATGTTAGCAACAACCAAAAAAACATTTTCATCACCCCAAAAGAAAATCTTGTACACATTAAGTAGTTACTCTCAGCGCCCCACCCCCGCCGCCAGCCCCTGGCAACCGAGCGCTCTTCTTGCGGTCTCTATGGGTTTATGGGATCACAGACACAAATCCCCTTTTGTGTCTGGTTGCTTTCACCAAGAACAATGTTTTCGGGGTACATCCACGCCGTAGCCCTGTTATAACAGTGCTTCCTGTGTATGGCTGAATGATATGCAGGGCACGGTTGGACCACGTTTTGTTTATCCATTCTTCCATCAGTGACACTCAGTTTATGGTTTATTTCCACCTTTCGACCACTGAGAACAGCACCGCTGCAAACACGTGGATGTGGATTTATTTACGTCCCCGTTTTCTGTTTCTTTGAGTAGATGCACCTAGGAGGGGAATTGCTGGGTCATGTAGAAATATCTACGTCTCAATTTGGAAGGACCATCTGACTGATTTCCACAGCGGCTGCACCATTTTTCATTCCCATCCACGATGCATGAGGGCACCCGGCACCCCACCTCTCAGAGCTCCCTTCCTTTCTTCAGACAGTTTCCAGCTTTCTCAGTTCTGTCCATTGCCTGCCAGCCACACCTCTCAGAGAGGACCCCAGTCTTCTCAGGGGTGATCGGCACCTCCTGCATCAAGTTTGATGGGTTACTAGTTTGAAATACGGATTCCTGGAGTTCACCCTAACCTGCCTGGGGCTAAAGCCCCTGAGCCCTTCATTGGCCAGGAGTTCCCCAAAGGTCCTCAGACATTTACAGGGCTTAGGTGACTCACTTCTTCAGGTGACTGATCTCCCTTATAAGCAAATTCTCCCTTACATTTTTCACTGACAGAGTCATGTTAGGGCCAAGTTATGGAAATAAGACTTCTTTGCGTATGTCCTGAGTTCAGCATTACCTAAGAGCCCCTGAAATGCTCTGCAAAATCAAAACAAATGAAATGGGTATAAGCTTGCACGGGGCCACCCACACTCATCTGAGAGATCAAACCTGGTGAATTTGGGTTTCTAAAAAGGTCCATTATTCAAGTTAACCTTGCAGAGGCTTGAAAGCAAACCCAAGGCAATACATTCTAGGCGCCCCCAAAATCCCGAGGGGAGTTGCTGTGGGGATGAGCTCAGAGGAGGGCAAGGGGTGGTGGTTGGGCTTCACCAGGAGTCCGTGCGAGCTGAGTTCAGAGCCCGACGCGGGTGGGCAGGAGGGGCTGAAACAGGCATCGGAGGAGAAGGAGATCCTGGCCTGAGCAGCGGAGGAGAGGGAGATCCTGGCCTGAGCAGCGGAGGAGAGGGAGATCCTGGCCTGAGCAAAGGTTGGTAGGAAAAGCAGAGGCAGGCGAGAGGGGTCATTGGACCGCGGGCACCTGGGGAGGCCAATTAACTTCACTCCCGGCCTGTCCAGTGACCACACCTCGCCCTCACCCAAATCTTGGGTGGGGCGCAGCTGCCAACCTCTGACTTCTTTTCGGTTACAAGTCACTCAGGCCTGGTGCCAGCTTCCGGGGGCAACGGGCCAAAAAGCAAAACAGTCTCACCTTTGGCCAACCCCAGGCTCCTCAGCTGCCCTCTTCCTCTCCTCTGCCTGCAGCCATCACCCGCCCCACCTCTACCGTCTTGCTAGGAGCACCCGGCCCAGTCCTGCACCTGAACCTCACCTCGGGCTGTTGCTCCTACAACAGTTAATTCCCTCACCCGCCTGTGCGGAATGTGGACTGTCCAATCCAGAGAACTCCAGATTCACGTGGACTGAGCCGTCACTCCTTCGGGCAGGCGTGGAAGGGCTGATCCTGGGGAGCGGGTGTGGGAGGGCCCCGGGGGGCGTGGCAGTGGACAAGCCCCTGAGCGGACCCGAGCCCCAAGCACCTGGAGTTTAGCCCGGGTTCTGGGGCTAGAGGTTGCTCTTCCGCCCTCACTGCCTCGGTTTATCCGGCCTGGGCTTGGGGAAAGCCCTGAGCAGGACAGGCACCCTGTACTGGAGCCGAGCGGGGGCCACCCGCCGGGGCGACTCCCAGTGAGGTGGCGCAGGGCCCTTCCCAGCAGTGTGGGGTCCACTGGCCCCAGGTTCTTGGCTCCGACCAGCCAGGGGTCCCCTCCCTCCAGCCTAGCCAAGCCCCTCTGAGTCAGGTGCTAAGGAGGCCGAGTGAAGCTGAGAGCCTCTGGAGATGGGACATCTGCCTTCTGGGGGAACAACAGGGGTTCGGGCTACACCGAGCGGGACTGTCAGCATCCTGCACTTATAGACGCGACAAAATATGGTGCTTAAAAAAACAAAATCCAGGGGCTCTGCCTTCGGCTCAGGTCATGATCCCAGGGTCCTGGGATCGAGCCGCACATCGGGCTCTCTGCTCAGCAGGGAGCCTGCCTCCTCTCTCTCTGCCTGCCTCTCTGCCTACTTGTGATCTCTGACTGTCAAATAAATAAATAAAATCTTTAAAAAAATAAAAATTAAAAAAAAAACCCAAAAAACAAAATCCAGGGGCACCTGGGTGGCTCAGTCAGTTAAGCGTCTGCCTG